GGAATGGGAATGTTCAATTGTAAAAGGAAAGCAAAGATGTAGCCCAGCTTTGGTTTTGAGAAAGATAGATGTTGTAGTAGTCTCAGGTTTTACAGAGGGAGGTTTTGGGGAGTGTCCTCGACTTTAAAGTATGACTCTATGATGTCTTGCATTCAACAGGAAGAGTTTGCTGGAGTTGTCCCTATACAACTCCCTTTATGGAAATTAAGGCCTTTTGTTGGAACTGTCAAGGGTTGGGCTCCCCCTTGACAGTTCGTGTAGCTAAAGAGGCCTTAAGAAAATTAAAAGCAGATGTGGTATTCTTTAGTGAGACAAAAAGCATCCTAATTAACTATAAGAGGAAATTTAGGGAGTTTTGGAATTGGAACTGCTAGGGGGTAAATGCAGTAGGTTTATCAAGAGGTTTAGCCTTGTTCTGGGAGAAAGACTTGAATCTTAAAGTGTTGACAATAGACAAAAACTTAATCCATACAAAAATAGAGACTGCAAACAGGGATAATTGCTGGTGGTGTACCTTTGTTTACGGGGAACTTGAGATGAATATAAGAAAACTCTTTGTGGAGAAGCTAAATCAGCTAGCCACTTTTTCTGTTGGGGCTTGGTGTTGTGTTGGAGGTTTTAATATGACTTTTAACTTGAAGGATAAAGTGGGGGACAAAGAGGTAAAAACTGGGCACATAAGGAAAAATAGGGGATTTCTGAGGGGGTGGGAGGTTGAAAGCGATTCCTAGCTCTAAACCTAAATATACTTGGACCAACAAAAGAGACCATCTAAATCATATTAGGGTTAAATTAGATAGAGGTCTAGGTAATTTAGAGTGGAAAACTATGTTCCTTGATGCAAATGTTTCAATCATCCCCTCTCATGGGTCAGACCACTTGCCTACTTGTCTTGACACAAACCCTATAACTTTCAAACTAAGGAAGCCCTTCAGGTTCAAAGAAATGTGGCTCTCACACACCATTTATGCTGACTTAATAAAGAAATCTTGGAATGAGCATTCTAATTCATCTTCGTTATCCATTTCAGAAAAGTTTGAAAGGCTAAAAAGAGCTTTAAAAAAATGGAACGGAGAGGACTTCGGTAAAGTCCAAGAGTGGATTGAGAGGCTAAAACTTGAGCTAGAAACATAAATGAAAAAAGAAGGGCCAAGCTATAACTAGAAAAAAGTGGAAGAGATTGAGGTGGAGTTAGATAGCTAGTTTAAGAGAGAAGAAATTATGTGGGTTCAGAAATCTAGGGTAAATTGGTTAAGATATGGGGACATAAATACAATTTTTTTTTCATAACTCTACCATTAGAAGAAGAGAAAAAAATAAGATTCTGAAATAAAAAAAATGGGAATGGAGAATAAATGGAAGGGCAAGAAAAAATTAAAGGCATTCTGGTTAATCATTTTAATAATATCTTTTCCACCTCTTCCCCCTACGATATTCCCTTGGCCTTGAAAGGAATTGAGAGTTAAATAACCAAGGAGAATAATGAAGAGCTGCAAAGACAGGTTACGGAGGAGGAGATAAAGGATGCTCTTTTTCAAATGGCACTCAGAAAAGCTCTAGGCCTTGATGGCTTCCCCAATTTGTTTTTTAGAAATTCGGGGATGCCACTAAAGAGGATGTGGTGAGAGAAGTGTCTTTATTTTTTAATGAAGGGAGCCTTAACAGGACTTTGAATTATACTTTTATTGCTCTAATTCCAAAGGTAAAGAACCTTGAAGAAGCTTCCCAGTTTAGGCCAAATAGCCTGTGTAACACAGCTTATAAAATAATAGAAGAAATCTTGGCTAATCGTCTGAAACCAATTTTGGAAAAGTTAATTTCAAAAAACCAGAGTGCCTTCCTCCCAGATAGAGCCATCTTCGACAATATTTTGATAGCCCATGAGTTATTGCACTTCATGTCTAACACCAAAGCAGAAAGTGGTTACATGACAATCAAATTAGACATGAGCAAAGCTTATGATAGGGTGGAATGAAATTTTTTGAAAGTAACCCTAGAAAAGCTGGGTTGTGGGGGATAAATGGGTCTCTTAGGTCATGACTTGTGTATCAACGGTCTCTTATCAAATTTTGGTGAATGGCTCCCTCTCCAGAAAAATCATCCCTCAGAGGGGTCTGAGGCAAGGTGACCCCCTTTCACCCTACCTCTTTCTATTGTGTTCTAATGTCTTTTCAGCTATCTTGAATAAAAAAGTGGCTAAGAAATAAATTTCAAGAATTAAAATTTGTAGAGGATCTACACCTGTTTCTCATCTTTTTTTTTTTTTTTTGTAGATGACAACTATTTGTTCTCTAAACCTGACCTTAGAGAGGTAGGTTTAATGCTGGAAGCCATCTCGCTGTATAAAAGAGCTTCAGGTCAATAGGTGAACTACCAAAAATCTGAGGTGTTTTTTAGTAAGAACCTGGACCCAAAATTTAAAAAAAAAAATCTGCTCTTTGTAATTGCTTGCATGTTAAAAAAGTGGAAAACCCCTCCATTTACCTTGGTGCTCACCTTTATTTTGGAAGGAAGAAATCTCAAGCTTTCAATCGTTTAGCTGAGAGGGTTTCTAATAGAGCTAAGAATTGTAGGGGTTCTCTATTATCACAAACAGGTAAGGAGGTGCTTATCAAATTTGTCCTTATAGCAACTCCAGCTTACTGCATGTCTTGTTTTTTAATCCCTAAGGAAGTTTGCAACTCCATGACTAAAAGTAAAAAAGCCTTTTGGTGAGGATATAGTGAGGATAGGAAAAAAGTAAGGTGGGTTAGTTGGGACCAAATAAGTAAAAATAAATCCAATGGAGGCTTGGGTTTTATAGACCCTCATGCTTTCAACTTGGCCTTGCTAGCTAAGTTGTCTTGGAGGCTATGCTCTAACTCATCCAGTCTATGGGCTAGGCTCCTAAAAGCAAAGTACTACCTGAATTCTCACTTTCTCCAAGCTACCATGAAAACAAACCTTCTTGGGGTTGGAGAAGTATCCTGGCTAGAAGAGCAGTTATTGAAAGAGGTATCTATTGGAAGATTGGTAGGGGAATTGATGTGAATCTATGGGATGATCCATGGATTCCGGGGATCCAAGGCTGCAAGTAAATGGGGCCTAGAATTGAGTACTCTCAAAGCTTGAGGATGGTTGACTTAATCGACCAAAATAACAAATATTGGGATGTTTCCATAATCAATTCCTTGTTTATGCAACCTATAGCTTAGAAGATTTTGGACTTAGATCTCTTGGCTAACCCTTAAACTGGTAAATTAGTTTGTATAGGAAGTAAAAATAGCAAATTCTCGGTTAGGCCAACTTATTTTTTAGCGAAATGCATCCAAGAAAATGATCCACCAAGTGTGAATGCCCATAATGATGAAAGAAGAATGTGGAACTTGATCTGGGGCCTGCCTTTAGAACCTAAACTAAAGCATTTTCTTTGAAGCTGTTGCATTGGTGGTGTAGCAATTAAAAATAATCTTTTTATAGGGGTTTGGCTGATGATGACGATTGTGAAAGATGTGAAAAGGAGCTTGAAACCTTACTGCATGCATTAGTACTTTGTGAAAAAGCAAGATGCATTTGGATTGGCTCTGGGTTAGGTATAAACCCGGAATTTGCAAGAGGCTTCTCTTCCTTTAAGGATTGGTTTAGAAGCATTTTATCCTTTCTTGGGGGTGGAAACTTAGGTTAGTAAGTTGTTTGTGGGAAATTTGGAAAGATAGAAATAAGTTTTACTTTGAGAAAGAGGATGTAAACCCTTTTATTGTGATTTTTAACATTCGCAGGTCAATAATGGAGAGATCTCTTCATTGGCAGAAAAAATTAAAGATTCTTCCAACTCTAAGAAGATGGATAATGTTTTTTCTTTCTTTTCTTTTCTTTTCTTTTCTTTTCTTTTTTTTTTTTTTGTGGAAACCCCTGACCTTGGAAGCATGAAGTTGAATCGTGATGCAGATTTTGTGAACTCCAATAAAGTTTGTGAGATCATTGGGGTGTGTGCTTGGGTGCCAGCTACGATACTTTGAAAGTAGTGTCACCACTTATGGGAAGCTGTCTAGTTTGCTGATAAGATGGAAATTTCAAATGTTGTTTTTGAATCAGACAATTTCAGCTTGATAAAAGTTTTTGATGAGTGGCGTGCCGACCCTTCTTTAGATCTTTTTTTTTTTTGCTTTTATGATATTAAAGCCTTGGCTGAGAAGAGAAGCTATAGGTTTGCCTGGTGCTCAAGGAAGAAGAATGGTGCTGCCCACGCTGCAGCAAAGTTAGGATTAACTTATGCTTTTAATTCTTGTAATGCTGTAAACTCTCGTATTCCCTTCATATAAAAAATTGCCTTGGAGAAATCAATATTTAACTAACTATTTTATTTTAATGTTTGTATAAGGTAATAGAGTATTACTAAATTAAAGTGAAAACTCTCAATTAGTACCTTGTATTTTGGGCCTAGTGTCACTTTGGCCCCCAAACTTTAAAATGCGATAATTCAATACCCAAACTTTCAAATTGTGACAATATAGTACTTGTTGTTAAGTAGTTATTAACTAGCCGCTAAGTGGCATTTGAAAAAGATGCAAATGCCCTTCGAGTGTCATCTAATTTTCTTTATCAACCATCTAAATATTAACAAAAATCTAACAATCTCAAATCCTTGTCTCTTCTATTCAATAAAGTTAGGATCACCAGAATGCTCACTCAAATATGACCCCAACTTTTTTGAATAAAAGAGGCAAGGATTTAAGACTGTTAATTTTTTGTCAATGTTTTCAAATACTAAATTGTCACATTTTAAAGTTCAGGGTCCAAAGTGACATTAGGCCCAAAATACAGATATTAATTGAGAATTTTCCCTAAAGTAAAGACCCCTTTTCCAACTAAATTTTCAATCTAGACATATATAATTACTACCTACTAACCTTTGCAATAATTTCAAATCCGTAAAAAGCGTGGAATTGAAAACCTGTGGAATTGGTCCTTCAATTGAATCTTCTAGATTTTATCTTTAGGGTTAGACTGGCCTATTTGCCAACTCTCCTGTTAAAGTGTCAAGCATATGGAGGTGGGATCAGAATTCAGAATTACCAGAAGAGGAACAAAAGTCAACTGTACCTTTTGAAAGCCGCCGTTACTTGAAGCATCGAAGTTCGTGCCGACAATTCCTGTTCTTTTGTGTTTCGTTGACACCTGGAATTAACGACCCATCCAAGAGCTGAAAGTGTCAGCAAAGGAATTCTGTACAATAGTTAAGAAAGTGAGAGATACAAGAGCTATTATTCTTTCTTTTTAGCCAAAATCCACTGCTCCAAGCCTCCAACCTCCAAATTCTAGTTCGACCTCAATCATTCTTCTTACGAAATATATGTTTTTTTCGTTTTGACCCTTTGTTTTTTTTTTTTTAATGCATGCAGTTCGATACCCACTACCCTCCTCAGTTCTTGATCTGATTAATTTTATATTTGTTGCTGCTCGAATGGGCTTTCATTGTGTAGAGGGAAATTGGGGTTTGATGCTTTTTTCAATCTGAGGGAGAACTGTTGCAGATTTGGGGGAAGAACCATGGCAATGCCGTGGAGCATGTCTCTCTGGTTGGCCAAGATGGTGTGGGTGGCTTTGTGTAGCTGGGTCTCCTCGTGCTTGATGGTCGCTGATGAGATTGCGAGTGCTCTCAGAAGCGGTGATGTCAGCCCTTTCAATGTTGGGTGATGAACCTGTGTTTTCATTAATTTGTTCAGGTTTGTCAGTGACTGGATACCCTTTTGGTTTTGACCGAAGTTGCTTCCTGTTTGCTTTCCTAGTACAGTTTGTTTATTGAATTGTTTCTTTTAATTTGTTTGATGACCAATTTGGTAGAATTTTTTTGGTCATGTTCTATGTTGTCTTCTTCCATCATTCCTTCTGTATTCTGCTTGATTCTTCTTTTATTCTTCGACTAATTTGATTGAGTTCAACTTTACAGAGTAATGCCAATTATTTTGCTATAGGGGATTCTTTTGATTAGCTCTTACTTTTCCTAGTCTTTGAATTGCCCTACTTTAGGAGGGAAAAGACACTTGCTTTGCCAACCTGAAGAAGTGTTTCGTATTTCTTGGTATATATTTTTCTGAAGCAATGCCTGTTTGTGTTTGGTGCTTCCTATTACCTGCTATATTTTGTGTGGATGATAAGGGTGGATGTGCAGTTCAAACTTGAGGGTCTTTCCTAAGGAGATTTTCTTTCTTATTTGAGCAGTTACAGGAAGAAATAGGGAATTTGCTTTGGTTTCTAACATTCTGTGGACAATATGGTTTTGTCTACATAGAAGACTGATGGATGTGGCATTGTGGCAATAATTTGTGACTCGGTAGAAGGGTTAGTTAAGTGATATGTCATTAGGTCGTCATTATATTTGTAAACTTTGGTAGTTTTCACCCCTTTTATCGGGTATGATTTGAATTCAGGTAACTCCATAAAGTTTTGGGAACAAACTTGGGTGGGGATTGCTCCCTTAAAAGACCAGTTTCCTTCATTGTATGCTCTATCTGATTTTAAAAATGAGCCAGTATATTCTTTCATCACCCCTTCCTCTTCTATTTTTGGGCTGGGGTGGAACCTGGGTCTGAGAAGGGCGGTGAGGGACTCAGACCTTGAGAGTATTTCGAGTCTCCTTGAACTTCTTGATAATGTCTTCTTAGACCCCACTAAGGAGAACTCTAGAATTTGGACCCCTACCCCCAGTGGCTCTTTTTCTTGTGCTTCCTTCCTTAAAGTCTTAAGCCAATCCACCAGTCCTGTTACCCCCCCTTTCCCTGTTAATGAGGTTTGGTGCAGACCAACTCCTCCCAGGGTTGGTAGTTTTTGTTGGGAAGCCTTTCTGGAAAGAATAAACACTGGTGATCTGCTCCAAAAGAAGAGACACAATACTTGCTTGTCACCTCATTGGTGTGTTCTTTGCAAAGCGGAGGGGGAGACTAGTTTCCACTTACTGGTGTCTTGCCAATTTGCAAAGTCTATTTGGGAGTGGGCCTTCTCTTTTTGGGTGTAGCTGGGACCCTCCATCAGACATGCAGTGTCTTTTCTCCCCTTCTTTTTTCAGGTGGCGTATGAAAAGGGGAAGGACTATGTGGAGGGGATTGAGGTCTGCAGTATGTTGGTCATTATGGGAAGAAAGAAATTCCAGGATCTTCTCAGAAGTGGAGAGAAGGGCTGAAGAACTGAGGGCTATAATCCATATTAGGGTTGTCCAATGGCTGAAATCCTTAGAGCTATTTACAGATTACACAGTGGATGACATGTTGAGGAAGTGGGATGAGATTGCAAACTGTACACAGACCAGATCAGTAATGAGTGTGCCTTGGACCCCACCACCTGCTGGATTCATAAAATTAAACTTTGATGGGAGTAATAGGGGGAATCCCAGATAGTCAGGGATTGGGTGTGTCTTTAGGGATGAGAATGAGGTCATTTTTGCCTTGTTCTTAGGCCCAACTGGAGTGGGTGACTCTCTTAGAGTTGAGATCTCTGTAGTTATGGAAGGAATCCAGAAAGCTAAGGAGATGAATATCAGAAAGCTTATAATTGAAGGGGACTCAGAGGTGGTGATAGGGTGGCTGAATAAAGATAACAATGGCTTATGGAATTACAACAATGAGAGGAGAAAATTTAAGTGGTTGGTGCGGGAGATGGAAGTGAAGATGAATTGGGTTAAAAGATCAACTAATTCTTTAGCTGATGGATTAGCTAAACAAGGGGTAGAAAGGGACTCAATGTTTTGGGCTAAATTGTAACTTTATTGTTTCTTCCTTTCCTTTTCTTTTCTTTTGAAGGCTTAAGTTGTATTTGGAAGATAAGAGTGTTTGTCTTCCTCTTTGTAATTATTTTAATGATGAGTTAATGAATTTGTTATTGATCAAAAAAAGAAAATATATTTGTAAACTTTGGTTGCATCTTCTGAATTTGCTTTCTTTTCCAATTCTTTGATAACTTGATATTTCTTATGTTTCTGGTGAAAATGACAAACTTTAAATCACATTAGATTGGTGGATTGTATTGCTTTTAAGGAGTAATTTATTGTTTCACCCCCACCCCTTACTTTTCTTCTTCCTCTCTCATTTTTTGGATTCAGTTTTATGAATCAGTTTTTACCTTTCTCTAGGTCTAAGCTATAATTGGTTTCCGATTTTTCCGTACAATGAAAGGAAGGAAAGGAATCTTGCATTCTTTTGTTAGCATTTTTTATCTTCTTTTGAATTGAACTTTTTGTGTAATATATTTGTAATATTCAATATTAATAATAAAAGGAAAAGGTTTCCTAGATGGATGTTCTAGCCTTCTAGGTATGTTGTTTTTATTATTTCTTTCATCCAGGTGGTGATATGGACAATCAAGGCCAACTCTATACCACCTGCAATCTTCCCCTGCTAATGCTAGATACTGAGATTTCAAAATGTTAATTAAACTGTGCCCTAGAGGGCTTTCTTTTGCATACTTGTTAGGTTAGCCACTTGTGTGGACAAGTAACCTACTAAATCCATTTGCCACTACTAATTCTTAAACCTTAAAGTAAAGATGAGCCATTTTCAGTCCAAGACAATATGATTTTCCTTATCCTGTTGAAAGAAATGTCACATAACATTATCAATTGTGTTTGTTGAAAATTGCTTGTTTTTCCTTGATATTTGGTCATGTTGTAGTTGTTATTTTCTGTTTTATGTGAAACTTCTACCTTGTAACGTTGTCTTAACTTCAAATCCTTGTTTTCTTATTTTGGCATGTCTATTTTTAAATCATTGTTGGGAACACCACATAAATAATACATTAAACTATTATCACATAGTCAATGCTACAAATGTCTGATCTAAATAAGAAGATGATTTTCAATTCTTTGTGTAGAAAGCTTACTGAGAGTGGGCCTCAAGGCTTTTTTTTTTTTTTTTTTCAAAATATCAGTTAAAGTTCTGTCCCATAATAGGGATGAGCAAACACCTCCCTTTGTATATCATAAGGTAAACGTTTTTCTATTTTCCTTTTATTCCTTTCAAAATGGAAAGATGCATAAAATTTTTACCTTGGAGGTGATTTATGTACCACTCCAATGCTTCACCGAGGCTGATAAGTATAACTATTCATGTTAGCTGTTAATACAACCAAGGATTTTTTGTAATGTAGCCAAATACATTTACAAGGGTTAAAATCTGCTCCCTGACTATCTATCTCTCTATTTCTCTATCACTCTCTGGGGAAACATATACAAGCCTGGTATAGGTTTCCCTACTTTTTCTTTCAAACAAGCACAACATAAAAGATCCATGGCAGAAGATTTTGGTCTTTAGTTTAGATGGATCTATACCCACTAATTTTGTGCAATAATGCCTTGATATATGGGAAGCTTAGTAGATATGAGTGTTTATTACAGTGCTTTGAGTCCAAGGAATGTCACTGAACAGAGTGGAATGGTGGAACAACATTCGTGTAGCCAACTCATATAGTTGGAACAAGGCTGATGATGCTGATGATTCCTATTGATCTGTGATATTGAGGTTTTGTCTATTAATGATATGGTTAATGTGACTAAGTAATGCAAGGATTATGCTTTTTTTTCCATGACAAGGATTATGCTTTTTAGAATTTAGATAATTGATACTTAATGTTTAATCCATGCATATCTTCATTTGTTTCTATATAATAGGACTGCACTGAAGAGGAGTAAAAATTCATAGCTCAGTTCAGTGTTAAAAAATGTAATTTAAGTGAAAAATCTCTATTTGATCAACACGAAGATGGATGCAAACAATGGTTAAAATGGTAGGCTTGGATGAGGCATGCATTCATTGAAGTTTTTACTTGGCTATAGTGACAATCCAAAATGGGGTTGTTTGAAATGAGTAGAATTTCATTCTTCTGAAGTTTGAGTTTCCCTTCAATAGATTGATGGAGCATATGGGACCTTGTATAAAATGATATTCACCGGGCTAACAAGTGTCTGCAATTGACAACTCTTACCTAACAGATTGGTATATGTCACAGAGATTAAGGTAACATTTTTTTAGTTTTGAAACCATAGTCTCCAAACTGACCAAGACACTTCTATGTCAAGGCACTGACAGGCCAAATGGAGAGAACTGATGTTTAAGTCAAAAGTTATTGTCAACTATGGGGCTTCCAAATGTGTCTTTATCGTTTCCCTCATTTGAGTACTTCTGGTTGAATTCATGAATTCGTTAATGGCAAAAAAAAGGTTAATGATATATGGTGAGTACAGGGAAACCATATGTATTTATTTAGGACCCACTATCCATGCAGTAAGTCTTGAAGCATTAAAGCTGGGTTTTTATTTGACATGGGAGACTAAATTAGATTTGATTTCTAATTAAACAACCCACTTTGTCTAAAAAAATGGGACCCACACCATTGTAACTTTTTGAAAGCCTTTGTGCTGGGTTTTTTGTGAGCTAGGAAACTAAGATTTGATTTATCATTAAAGGATATAAGATGACACATGGAGCCCTTGCCATGTTTTTGAAGGAGAAATTCTCCTGGCCTTTGCATGGTCCATAGGATGAAGTGATCCTGTTATCTCTCCAAGTTTACACGAGAAGGTTGAAATATCTGCATGACCTTTGTGGTATTTTTTTTTTTTTTTGATGAATACCTTTGTGGTATGTTATTAGCATAAAAAATGGTGACTATTGTGATCACACATTTTTAGGTTTGCCCATGAAGAACTCAACACCTATCCTTGTTGAGAAGTATTATTAGAGTGTGCACCATCATTCCCCAAATACCTTGTTAAATAGTTTGAATAGAAATTTAAGTAGTTGAGTTTGTCTAAGATCATTATGTAAGAGTCTTGAAAGGCTATTGCTACTTTTTCTACTTGTAATGAGGTTTAGTTATTAAAAACTTGTACATATTGAAAGGCCCAGTTGTATGATGGCACTGGGGCTTCCAATTAAAAGCCCCAGTTCTACGCTACTTAGTAAGGTTTAGTTATTAAAAATTGTACATACTTGTGCTACTTTGTGGATGTGGTGTCATTTTGATTTATGTAGATCAACAACATGCTTCTCAAACATTTGTTCTTCTTGTTAATTATTAAGGCAAAGCAATTGTATATTGAAAGCCCCAGTTCTATGATGGCAATTTTCAGCATCACCACAGAATATAAAGACCGTCGTTGTATTACATGATTGGTTGGATGGACCACTGGAAAGCTCAACTAGAGAATTTTCTAGTGCTATAACAAAGCATTAATTCATTCAAAATCAAATCTTAGTGCTGCATGCCTCCTATAGCCATGATTTTGCATCTGGTTTCATAGGAAACCAGGTCGGCAAGATGGATGGTTCTATCTTCAGCCTTGTTGGTAGAATAAGCAATGGAAGGTTCATCATCATCCTTGTGCATACTACCTCTTCCAGCAACATGCAACCGATTGAGCTTCATTTCAGGTTAAGCTTTAAAAGAAAATCATTCAGATCTCACTGATTTGATTGCCCATCATTATTTTCATAGTAAATTCTTTTGAACCTTGAGAAATGCTTAGATGTAGACTAACTCACTAAGTTCGTTATCTCAACGCATATTGTTATTCTAGCTTATATTCTGTTTACTCAGTTGCATGACAGGATCCAGTTGGACCTCATGCAATCACGTCTTTTTCTATCTGCAGGGACTGGAGTAAAATGGCAAATCCATCTTTGAATGTGCTGCTGGCCCCCTAAAGTGGTAGAAGTGTGAATTCTTGTGAATGAAATTGTTTCTCTCTTTCCTTCAAGTTAGCTACTAATCTATTGTGCAGGTTGAATGCACTGAAACAGTAAGAATATTTTGAACAGTGTGTAATATTTTTTTTACACCCACCATGATTACATGATATACATACAAAAGGAATGTAGTTGCCCCCTTCAATTCGTGCAAAACCGTGTTGTAATTAGCAGCATCTTTTTTTGTACAGATACCATTACCTTAATTAATTGTCTCGGTTTTATGATATGCTGGTGAACTAGAACTGACATTACCTTACAGTACAAAGCTGTCTATCCATCAGGTTCTGAAACTCATTTGAGGCTCAGCCAACCCCAAAAGATGCAAGTGTCTTTGTAAAATTGTAATTTGTCAAACGCAGACATGGAATACATACTAAACCATCTACACATAGCAATGCTGATTACCAAGTTGGGTCCGAGACGGCAATGACATTTTATAGTTCATAGTTAAGTGTAATTTTGGTAACCCCGGTTGAGGAATTTTATAGTTCATAGTTCACAGTGTAATTTCCTTTCCCCGTTTATGTCAATCGGATTGTTAAGATTTGCTAAATCAATAGCGTGAGATATTATTCTATCATTTATCCGAAGTTTGTACTTTTAGAGGCTATTGGAAAATCTTTAGATTAAATGCAGGATGTAATTAGCTTCTGGGTACCCCAGGCCCAGGTAGCTGGTATTATGTTGAGTTGGGAATACAAGACCTATAACTTGGCATGAACCACCGTATAACTTGACGTGCTCACTGTGAAGTATGAAGTATGAACCACCGTTCAAGGAGTTCCACAGTTCCACCATGGAGAATATCAGATTAACTGGGACAAATTTCAGTAACTATGCCTTTATGGCAAACATTTGGCTTGATCCTGCACCCGATGCCTCCATCGGCAAATATATGGTTGGTAGATAAAGGTTATTCAACCATTTGAACAGAAAGGAAACCAGATCAGGTGCTTATCACTTTGATTCTTGGTGCGTATCCAACATGTGAGGGCCCCATACTCGAGACATTCTTCCACTTGCTGTCCTACGAAACCCTTCTTACAAGAAAGATATGGTCCAGCATCAACCATTGTATTGGCACCTTTTATTCAAATTTGATGGGGATAGGCCTGAAAAGGATTGCCTACATTCTCCTTCAAAGGCAAAGTCACCAAAATTGATTGCCACCGACTGACCGGAGTACCTTAGATAAACTCAGCTTTAATCCTATCTACTTGAAGTCGATTGGCAGTTGGCACCATAACACTCTCCACGCTCCACCGTCTAACTAAAATGAAACTCCAATGGCCTAACTCAACATCCCATGCCTTTTCTGTTGAGCTTTACCACATTTTTTTTGACAACTTTTAAGCCTTAACCACATTGAAAACATACTTTAATGAAAAAGCAAGGTTCAAAGTATCAATAAATCACGATACCACGGAAAAGGCATATCAATTTTGAACCCCACTTTTTTCCCGAAACCTGTTCTTCTGTTCATGGGGTTCGTCTAAGGCATGCTTACCCCTTAAAATGGATTTTCAGTTGACCCCAACAGCCTTAAAAATCAGGTACGAGTGACGTGCCAATATAATTCAATTCGCAAAAAAAGGTGTATCTATCGTGTTGAAATTTTAAACCGTGAAGAAAGATCATTTTCTTTCTTTTTAGGATCAGTTTGGAAGGAGTAGAAATACAAATACGTACAGTATAAATACATACAAAATACAAGGTTTTACACACTACATATTTGTATTTATACTCCTTCCAAATTGAGCCTTAAGTCGAGGTGGGATGGGATCAACCAATAAAGAACACATTCAAATGAAAATTGGTTGTAAATTTCTTCGCAGCCAGAAAAATAATAAAATAAAATAGAAAGGAACGCAACATTTTTTAGGATGCTTATGACACCTAGCTAATACGACAACTGCAGTAAGACTAATATCAGTAAAGAAACTGTATATTTCAACAAAAAGGAAAAGCAAGATGAGTGAGGAGAAAGGGAAACAAAAAGGTCAGGTCATTTTTAAATGATGAACCGAGTGAACGTTCTACTAACTTCGTCCACAAACTCATTGTACAGAAATCCCGGTTCAATGTTCCAATTGTGTTACAACCCTGAAATCCAATGGTCCAAATGAAAAATGGACCAAGAATATTTGCAGGTGTTTATATTTTGCATGTCCTGGGCAGAGTCTTTCCATCGTTCAGCACAATCTGATTACTTTCATTTCTACATAAATATAAACGAATAGCCTACTGAGGTGCAGAACCATGTGCAGACTGTGGTGGTGGGGGCGGTAGACCAGAATGACCAATATTTGGTCCCAACGATCCCATGCCAGTTGAGCTTGGACTCCCAGACTGAATGAAAACATAAAAACAAATGAGAATACAAAGCGTTCACTTGAAGATGAAAAAAATGCAAGACAATGAAGTAACCTTCACTTACCTGGTATGTGCCCAGTCCCGGAACCAGAGGCATCTGTCCACCTTGTGTCCGATTGAACTGACCACCCATTGGGTACATTTGGGCTCCACTTGCACTTGAAGGGACCTGCATATTTGACATCCCGCTTGCAAAACCACCAATTGGGGGTGGTATACTATTAGCAGGTATTGAACCAGAGTGCATTGGATTCAAGCCCATGATGTGGCCTTGTGGCAATGGAGGAACCATCTGATTTGCTGAACCTTGCATACCCTAAAATAGCCATAGAAAACTCTGGTCAGCTGCTGCTCTCTTGTTTTCTCTCAAGAGACAACTAAGAATAGTAGTTACCATTGGACCAGGTGGTGGCGGCAATGGCAAAGATGCCGGCACTGAAGATGGAATGGCCGAAGGCATGCCAAGTGGTGGTAATTGGGGTGGAGGGGGGCGAGGTAAATGAGGATGTGGAAGTAGGGGTAAATGCGATGGGGGCTGCAGCTGGGGCAAATTTGGAGGTGGCAGTGGTAGAGATGACATTTGCTGTGGATGCTGTTGTTGTGGAGGCATCTGCTGAGGAATTTGCTGATATGATTGCTGACTCGAGGCTAGAAGAGATGGATGTGGACCTGGTGGGAGTGGAGGGGCTCCAACAGGCAGAGAAACTGGAAGAGGCTGCTTCTGCTCTCCCTGTTCAGTTGTGTCAAGGGATGGGATGGATAATGGCATTGCAACCCCAACACCAGGAATTGTTCCCTCATTTCGAGGCAATCCTGTGGCAAATGGCCCTGGAGTAGCTGGTGCTTCAGGTACTGGGAAATTACCAATTGCACGGCCAGCAAGAGGAATGTTTTGCTCCCCAAAACCTGGAAAATGAAACATCAAGACATGAACTCAAAACACACTTTGCCAGATTCCATTTCAGTTCTCGTTGCAAGATGAATAGATAGCTTCAATAGCAGTGACAAAACAATCATCTAAAGATAACTACAGCAACAGAATAAGAACAAACCTTGCATGTACCCCATGCTGAATCTATCACGAGGGGGGTCTCCTGGCCTATTTCTACACCAAAACCTTGTTGTGTAATCATTGCTACCACTGAACAAGAAACAGAATTGAGTCAAATCATTGAAGACATGTTTGAACCAAACGAGAAAAATCTCAAATGCATAAGCACCCAAACTCTAGAAAGAACACTAACCTTCATAGTCATTGTATAACAAATCAAAACCCATAAATTTCATGCATCTAACACAGTGCAAAAGAATGAATAGAAAAGACAATAAATCAAATTAAAAGAAAACAACAGAATGTGATGGCATCACCTTGGTATAAAAACTTGCTAACAATAAACAAAAGAAAATGAAGTCTATTGTACATCATATCAAAAATGAGTTGAAGCGAGGACACGAGTTATTCTCCATGGGCCAAGGGAAAAACAAACCAAACTTATAAATACCAGTAGCACTTTCATACTTTCCATGTGATTCTAGTTTTGGTCAATTTTTGTTTTCCATAAGTTATTTTCTAGTTTATTGGTGTTGTAAGCAACAGATTTAATAATCTTAATGGATCAAAGTAGCTTACAAAATTGCACTTTTTCTCACAGTCAAGTTTAAAGGTCAACCATTTGTATGGCTTGATTTTGGTGCCATAATATAGGTCTTTCAATTACCTACCAAAAAGACCATCAAACATGTAAACCCAATGTGTTTTGGTAAAGTTATGGCCATTTAGAGTGCCTTTACAATTACATTGAGTTAACTTTGGACCTAATGTAATTAGGAATTATTTCGGGTCAATTTTCAAGTCGGAATTGGAGTCTATAGAGAGAGATCACCAACTGCGCCAGTTAGAAGAAATGATTTGTTACACATTGAAGGGGCAGGAAGATCTCAGGGTAGACCAAAAAGGACATGGATAGTAGTAAGAAATGATTTAAGAACTAATAATTTAACAGGGGATATGGCTTTAAGTAGAATGGATTGGTGAAACAGGATTCATGTAGCCAACCCCATATAGTTGGGATAAGGCATGGATGATGATGAAGATGATGAATTGGAGTCTATAGAGAGATCTGAGACAATATGTTGAGATATTAAAAAAAAAAATCTCCAGGTAGTTTCAACATCACCATTACACAGTTTAGCTAGCTATATTTTGCCCCCGTTTGGGAGTGCTTATTTTTAAGCAGATATTTTAGGCACTACACCAATAAGCATTTATGTGCATTTGGGAAAAAACCGTGCTATTATAGGCACTACACCAATAAGCAGTTATTTTTGGCTTATTTTTAAGCCTTTTTTCAATAAGTGCTTATTGAGCATTTACATGATTTCAATTATTTAAGACAGTAATCAATGATGTGGCAGGGCCCCAATCAGATTACAAAAAGAAAATTTTAAGAAAAAACATAAGAGTTTTGCTTAATATAAACTCTCAATACATAAAATTTGCATACCAAGAGTATCAATACTAAACCATAACAAGATAACTTACCAGGGAACAGATGACCAAACTACACCATAATCAATAAATGATGTCAATGAACTAAATTGCAAGTCATTTTAAGGCAACAAATCGTCATCTTAGCACCCATTTCTTTCTATATTACGCTAGCTGCTAGCAGCAAAATTTTTGCATCAAATTTATGCGACAATAGGGTAGGAACTAATCAACTGTAAGAAAATGGCAAGAAAACGAATGGAACATAATGTCTATAATAGATTGACTAAGATTGTCTTGTAAGTTACCAACTTGTGATGTTACTTTCATCCTTAGTTTTTCTTGTCAAAACATGGTCAAGCACCTTATGATGTTCCTTTGTGTTAGGAGGTATGTTCTGGTTGCACTTATGTATTTACAAATGTCTTTTTGATCAGCAACAAGAAAACATTAAGATTTATTCATATGAACAGAAAGTACACATCATAGAAATTATGCTTCATTGCCTTTCCACCCCCAAAGTATGGTTCCCTGCTATCTCTCCCCACTACATTTTTCTTTTACAATTGAGCCCAGAAAAGCTGTCTCCTGGTTACCCCTTGTTCAGCAAGACAATCGGCCAAACCATTGGCAGATCTTTGAACCCACTGTATTTGTTAGCTGCATGTTTCTTGAAAGCCACCTGATTTTTTTAATCTCATTCCTATCTATCCATAATGCACTATCATTCTACCTCAACCAGCTTACTACTAATTTTTAATCTCCTTCAATTACAAGTTTCAACACCTCCAATTCCATTTCCTTTCAAGGTTTTTACAAATGTAAATCATTATCATATAAGCCTTGTCTCAACTGCATGGGGTCAGATAAATGAATCCTGTTTCACCATTCCAATCTGTTAAGTGCCACATCCATTGTTAAATTATTAGTGCTTAATTCATTTCTAACTACTTCAACCCATGTTCTTTTTAGTCTAACCCTAGTGCTTCTAGCCACTTCAACTCAAAAAAACAACCATGAAAATTTCCTTCAAAACGCTGGCTGTGTTCCTGAACCAAATGAAACATAAAAACAACCATGAAAAGAACACTTCCTTTGTAAGCAGATCGGATGATAATGGCCTGTAAATCTCTGAAAGTTTGACACATGCTGGAAGAATGAGGCAGTGGAGCTAGGGTTTCAGCTAACATGCCAAAAAAATGACCAGAGAAGAATGGCTGAGGGTGCCAAAGATGCAGAAGAGGATGGGAGAGAGAGACAGACAGACAGACAGAGAGAGACAGACAGAGAGAGAGAGAGTTCCCTACAAGGATACCGGATCTCCTATTTATAGGAGAAGCTGGCCATGCACATGCATGGCTTTGGATCGATATTCCAGAACATTCCAGATATTCTCTCAGGAAGTTATTGGTTATGACTGTAGATCCTAGGCTACTTCGGGTGAGGTGAGGACATGTGCAAGGAGAGGACCAGATACTGGCCTGCATGGTTTTCCCCACCTCCTATATGATCTCATCACCACCTGTCACTATCTGGGCTTATGCTTGTAACTAATAAAGAACTGGGTCATATGGACATGGGAAACATGGGAATCACACCTTTACAAATCTCACAGACCCAGATTTCAGCGAGTTTATCTGTGGGATTCACAATTTTACAGACTCACTGGCGTTTTACATGTCTCAGGGAAGTTAGTATTTGAGCTCTCCACCTATGGGCCTGAGAATTGCAATGTGCCCCAATAGTAGTACCATGGCAGTAGGCATATCTACACTCTTACACCCTTAATCAGCCTATCTTTTTACATGTTCAATACTTTCTTCCAATCAATTCTTTTAGTTGTCAATGGACATATCTTGCAATTTGCATATAGTCATGTAGCAGAATTGAGACAACATGAAGACTTATAACAATATGCTCAGATAAGATATGCCCTTGTGATACAAGTCTCGTTACAATTAAACTGAACGTACAGAAAAATATAACTAGAAAACCAGAATTGTTCTAGACGCATGTAACTTGAAGTGGATATAGCAGCAGAAAACTAATGATAGCACATAGACCTAGAACACATGAATGATTGTAATGAAACTTGAATGTAAAACACAAATATAAAAAAATTACTGAAAAAAAATATACATATAAAAAACAAAGTAAATGAAATAAACAACGTACAACAACTGCATATTGTACACAAGATCAAGATACCTGCACAGAATATAGCCAATAGGATGCCAAGCAAGGTCCCAGACACTGTTTTCATGAGCATTGGGTATTTCCACCTGAGGAGTTTCATGCCTATTCATCATCATCATCATGAAGATAACTATTAGTGACAATGAGGTCAAGTGCAAATAAATAACCATCCAAACAGCATTGTATCGACTGGCAAGATAAATTAAGCATATTTTTGAGGACACATTTAGGATCAACCTAGTTTGTAAAACAGGAAAAATGGAAAATTATGGGAAGGACTAGGTGGTATGTAAGATATTGAGAAATAAAAAGCAAAAAACGGTATGAGACTTCCACAAGGGGAAAGGTTGAGGTAGCACTGCTGCTAGCCTCTACTGTTGTAATTTTATTGTAAACATTTCTTAATTTTCTCAACAAAAGTGCAACCCTGCAAGTTACCTTCCAAAAAATGAATAAGAAGCACAAAAAAGACCAGGTAATCTTACTGCACAGACAATGCTAGCTTTGTTCCTTGTACAAAGGTTCTCTAAACGTGGTTACAGAGGTTGCAGCATAAAATATTTGTGTTTTTCCACCATAATCTTTCTACAGGGTAAGCTAACATCCAAATCTTCTGCTATATGGGAGGAGAGCTAACATTTTTTTGATCAGTAAAACTTTGGGAGGAGAGAAAAAATTGCAACCATTTTTTATTACTATATGCAATAAATCATCCAGTATGGAACTGGAAACAAGGTCAATATACATAAGACTCATCCAGAGAAAGCTCGCGCTGCAGGTTTCAAAGGCCACAGAAAGAGACCAGGAACCCCCCCCCCCAACATACACGCACACAAGCACAGAGGGAAAAGGAAAGAAGAAAAGAGGAAATGGATGTTACTATTCCAACATACCCGACAAGCCAATGGAAGATGGATCCATCAAAACTCCCACTCACAAAATATTCTTCATGGAATGGATGCCATGCCAAAGCTAGAAAAACAGAATAAGACAGTAATCATGAATACATGATCAAGGAAGTCAAAAACATAAGCAAAGACCTAATTGTGCCAGGGATTTTGGCTGCAGAAAATGTTATCACATATTGCTTATGTACCATGAATAATTTACATGAGGAATCATATTTCATGGAGCAAAGCAAAATAGAGTATGAGCTTGATTCCATATAAACATTATAACATCACAGAAAAACATTGCAGGGTGCTTTCTTTGTTCCATTACGAATAACAAATGCATTACACTGTAAGCAAAAGCTATCATTTCAGGGGAAAAAAAGAAATTCCATGCAAGACAGATCTATTTGGAGGAGAATGCTTATAGAGATACCCAAATTACCCTTAAACCGTGTTTACCAAAAAAAAAAAACCTTGAACCAGATGATGAAATAGCTGTTATATATTCTAACATATCAAGGTAAGTGATGTTTTAATGCTTCATTCACCTACAGTAAAAAGTTGAGATAAATATAGGCCATAATATTCTGGAAAAGAACTATGAGGATCTCATTTTTGTTTTCTATCTGAGCTTCACAGGTGAATCTCTCTGGTAAATGTAATGATGAGTAACACAAACTAGAATAAGCAGGGCTTAAGGAATTTTTTAACAGTAAATGAAAATGTTTTTATTGAAAAACGTATCTTATATGACTTCAGCTAATCAAGGAAACATTGCATATTTTATATGGCTAGTGCGAATTACATGCAAAGGTGAGTTTTAGCCTGTAGAGAAAATATTTCATAGCAAAAATAATACTCCTACTAACAATTTCAAAGGCATTGAATCAGCAGATAAGCATAGCATATGATTTTTATGACATCATTGTCCCATCCAATGCTTTTGAGTTATTGCAATTAGTTCAATGGCATAGTTCTCGGCAATATGGCATTAGCCTTGATTTTATATGCCCTGAAAGGTGCAGTATTGTATGTTCTCTCTTCCTAAGTAATGCACAGAACCAATAAAGAATAAATAAAAGGTCTATCGGCCGACATTTTCAGAAAATCAGTAACTATATAATCCTGGAAAATTTAAGGATGTTAGTTTTCAAGTTTCAACTAGTATAAAGACATTGGAGCAAAGTTGAAAATATTAATAACCAACATGTGTCAGATACCAGTAGTTGGGCGCTCTTGCATCAAATGACATACCAACGTATGCATATTTCCTCATGTACAATATTCAAAATGAACACTTGTTTGTACATTCTTCATCAAAAAATGGAGTGGAATTGTAAAAGAAAAATATAGGAGAAACAAGATCAGGGAAAGAGATTTCACTAACCAGTCACATCCTTCCGATGTCCACGAAAAGATTCAAGCTCTTTCATAGCACGTATATCATAGAGCTGAGATTTGATGAGGAAAATGATTTTAGGACATTAAAAAAAATGCTCTTTTATTTTGGAAACTGGAAACTAGTTGAAGGAGGAAGAATATAAAGATATGCAGAGAGAGAGAGAGAGAGAGAGAGAGAAAACAATACATGCAAGGTTATTCTGCATAAAGAAGATACAGTACAGGGTAGGTTTCAGAAAGACTCATGGATTAGATCATTCAAGGCATAAACAACAGTTGCATAATTAAAAAAGGCCAAAGGCCATTACCCAAAATTGGTCCCAGCTATCTGGGGTCTTGGGAGGGGTGGACTGGATATAATCCTAACCTTTGCCATTTGTAGGTGGAAATAAAATCAGAACATATAAGCCACTTAATTACACTAACTTGACGAAACTAGCAACCTCTTAATCATGCTTCAAGGTACATAGAGTAGCATATGATAAGATTCCAAGAAACAAAGTAACAGAGAAGGTTTCTGGAAAAAAAAAATGCAAAAATAGAAAAGAAACCAAAAAAATTATCAATTAAGCAGTCAAGTAATCGACCTCAATTGCATAATTGCTCATCTGGTTGCATTAGTCCATTATCTTAATTAAGTTAGAACATTAAATTCTCAAATCTTAACTACACTTCAAAATCTATAATATCACACTGTTGTCATATGCTTGGATGATCATTTCAAAGAATTAGCAAAGTCCGCTCACCTTGATGATTTGATCCTTTGAAGCAGTTAGCACCCAATTACCATTCTGATTCCATTTGACACAAAGCACGGTATTTTTGTGACCATGGCTGCAAAACATGGACATGACTAACCAAAAGCATGGATAAACAAAACTATGGTCTTGATCATTATAAGACCACACTTACAATGAACAAAGCTCTCTCCCACTTTTTGCATCCCAAAGTTTTACGAGGTTGTCTTTCCCACCTAAAATTTTAAAGAAATAAATCGATGTAAGCATGGTAGTAATAGGACAAAAAATTGAATGAACATGTTTGTAGGAATTTATATTGCACACCTGACACAAGTAATGACTTTGTTGGGTGCCAATCAACACTCTTAACATCCCAACCATGGCCTGCCTGAGTTCAAAGTGCATAGACAAGACTCTTAAGTTATTTCCTGCACACCCTAAGCACAAACTGTAATGACATAGAAACACTAAAGAAAAGATCTTTCTCTTCTATTCTCTATGAAGCAGAAAGGGATGCACATACAGAAAAAATGGGTAATTTCTCATTATATAGAAAAAGGTTTACTCCTACCAATAACAAAACAATTATACAAGCAAACAAAAAAGAAACACAAAGCATGGTAAATGTAGGTAAGTGAAGCACATGCCTAGGTGCAGTCATGAGGCAAGGTATGCACATAGAACTTGTAATGGCCTAGCTGAAGTGTTGTTAGCAGGGTTCATGTGTAGTGAACCTGGACTGAGGTTAGATGAATATGAAACATGCGTTCTTGCAGTGGGCCAAAGTAATTTGTTTCCCCTTTAAGAAAAGAAAGTGTCTTTTACTTCTTGAATGTGAGCCCTACCATATTGAAGGGTGGAAGCTTAAAAGGTCCTTTGCTTCTTTTCTTTTATGGAATCTCTGTTATCTTTTCTCAAAAAAATATATCAGAAACAGCCAAGAAACCACTACTGGTCATAAAACGGCCAAGAGACCACGAGTTCTATACAACCAGAGAAAGACAATAATTGATAAGGCATTTATAGAGTTTCTTTTAGAGTGTTTAAAGCTTCAAGGCTTAAATCAAAACCAAGGTATTAGAAGTTTTACTCAACCAAAAAAGCTACAATAAGGATGAGAGATGATGAGAACCCAATTAATCAAACTGATTTAATAGGCTTTCCTTAATTGGTTTCCTGAAGAAGCAAATAAACTCAACTTAAAATGTCATAAGTGACTGAAGCACATTACCGGATAATGAGCGTTCTTCTTGACATCTTGCGAAGTCCCAAACTTTAACAGTTGTATCATCAGAGCATGAGCAGAACTTCAAATCTGTCCTACAAAAGCTGTTTAAACAAAGTAACCTTCAAACAACTTAACCACTATACCTATATATATACACACAGAGAAAATTACAAAGATAAGTGCCGTACCAAGGGAAGGGCTGGCAAGGGAACAAAGCCTGTTAAGTAGCAGACTTGGTTGGACCAAGTAGTGTGGAGATTTTTTTGTGGGTGGTGGGTTTTGGACTATACTTTCAGGGTTGTTGGAAAGATTCCAATTCAGACAATAATGCTTTTCCATCACCAATAACAATGAACCTGAGTCACCATCTCTTTTTGGGTGTTGGGTACTTTTAGCAGTTGGGGAGCTTTTGTGAACCAGATCTATTGACAGGTTGATATTACAATTCCAGGGTTCTCCAAATGGCATTTGTTGTTTTGGCAGGGTGTGGCAGTTTTTGTGTATGTATGTGTGTGTGTGCGTGTTTTGTGACCATGATTAATGAATTATGAATAGAAATATGTCTTCAAGCATCATTTACTAAGAACACCTGAACAAATCATAGTTGTCAAAGTCAATGCCTAAGCAACTAAGCGCCTATAGAGGATCACCTTGCCTAAAAATCTAGTTATTTTTGTTCAAGGAAACTTAGGATATTCTATAATTGTTATATTAGTTATTTTGTTAGTTCAAATATTACAATAGATATTGTTACACTGAATTATTCATTTTGTGGGTTTATAATACATTCATAATTCATTTACTAGTTTCTACTCATTATTTTCTTGTTTGTTAGGGTTCAATCAACATACAAGTCAGTGGACACTGCTTTGAACTCTTGAAGACCGGAAAACTTCAACTATAAGCAAGAACTTGAAAATTTTGTCCAATCAACACCAATGTTTAACAAACCAGACCAGACCAACCGGTTGAACCGTGAACCAGGCCCCTAGTATGTCCAGTCATATACCCAAAACCACTGACCCAGATGGTCAAACCGGAAAACAAGTGACCCAGTCCCAGTTTTAGAAAACCAGCTGGTTTTGTGAAATTTTTTTACCACATAAATGCAAACTTCTAAAGGCCATAACTTTGTGCTCGGATGTCTGATAAGGGTGATCTTTTTTTATTTTGGGTAACTTTTCGAGAACTACATGTTACCATGGAGCCAAAGGCACCTTGACCCACTATTTTTACTAAAAATGCCTTTTTTGCCTCAAATCTTAATTTTTAAAATAAAAAATTGAAACTAAAATAAAAAAATATATGTTTTTTGATAAGTAATAAGATAAGTTTCATTAATAGAGAATTAATGCAATTACAAGCTTCCCATGGACTCCTAACAGCAGGAAGAAAGACAAAAAGAAAACAGATAACAAAAAACAGGAAACAGGAAACAGATTCAATCTACAATTGAGCCCAATATAAGCTTTCCCTGTTTACCCATTGCTTTGCAAGACCATCAGCCATAGAGTTTGCTGATCTCCCCACCCATTGCATTCTCACTGTTAAGCTCCTTGTCAGGCAGTAGAATTTTTTAATTTCATTCTTAGAAACCACACTATAGAGTCCAGGTTTTGTAGCAATCCCACTACCTACAACCTTGGAGTCCCCTTCTATTATCAGATGTTCCACACCTATCTGCACAGCTAGCTATACTCCTTGGATAGCGGCTGCAAGTTCCGCCCTAGTAGAGTTGTTTTCAACTCCTACGGGCCCCGAGTAAATAAGAACCACGTTCCCAGCCTCATTCCTCAGTACCCCTCCCACCCTTGACGGACCTGGATTACCAAGACTGATTTCATCAAAGTTCAGCTTTAAAAAGCTTTCAGGAAGGGGTTCCCAAGTCAAACTCACTTTAGTCTTTCTAGATGAACAATTAGCCACTGCTAACCAATTCCTCCAAATATCATTAAATGAGAATTGATGGAATAGGTCCAGTGATTTTAACCATAAGATCACCCTATTTAGAATGCAGTCCATCTCTTCTAGGTTTCTCTCCTTCTCTTGGAAAGTTCTGGTATTCCTTTCTTCCCACACGGACCAGATCAATGCTGTTCTTGCACACCTCGACATAATTCTTCCTCTTCTGTGCTGCCAAGGGAAGAAAACAGGATCAAAGATCAAACTTGCATCCGTTGGCCTAACCAACCTGCACCCAAACAATGAGAAGAGCCACTCCCATAACTCTGCACTAAATGAACATGAAATTAGTAGATGGTTATAGTCCTCACCATGTGACTTGCAAAGGATACACCAAGAAGGTGAGAGACAAAGATAAGGTCTTCTCTTTTGTAGAATGTCTAAAGTGTTTTATTTTCCCATAATGCACTTCCTAGCAAAAAGCCATAACCTTAGGGGGAACAGGCCTACACCAGATTTCCTTAAAAGGGAAAGGCTGAATGGGATTAGATTGAGTAATGGATTTAAAGAAAGAAGCGCAAGAGAAGGATCCATTTGGCTTGGGTGTCCAGATCCATTTATCGGGTTCAGAAGGGTCCAAACACACTGTATCAAGTAGACTTAACAGTTTTGTTAAGGATACAATTTCCTCTTCCCTTAGACCTCTACAAAACCCAAAATCCCAATTTGGTGTTAATGGATTATTCGTAAAGGAGCAAAACTTTGACACAGACTCTTTTTTGTACCTTGAAACAGAGAACAAAGGGAAGAGGTCCTTCAATGGAGCCTCTCCAACCCAAGTATTATCCCAAGAAAGGACAGTTACCATTACAAACATCATACCTGACAAAATTGAGAAATTGAGGAAGGATGCCATGAATAGCTTTCCAAGGTGTTGCCAAGGTTGCCCACCATGATACTCTAGCATCCCACCCATTATTAGAGCGACCATGAATACTACCCACCACCTCATGCCAGAGCCTCTCTCCATCCACTGGCCACCTCCACAGCCACTTCCCTAGCAGTGCTTTATTTTTTTAATTAAATTCCCTAACCCCAGTTCCCCCTCCTCTTTATTTTGGCATACCACCTCCCATTTTATCAAGTAATCCTTCTTACTTTCTCCCGGCTCCCAGAGGAAATCTCTCATCACCTTCTCTAGCTTCTTAGCTTCCCTAGGTGGTATCCTAAACACAGATAGGAAATAAGTTGGTAGGTTAGCTAATGTGGCTCTTATTAACGTGATTCTTCCCCCCAAGAAGTCAACTTCTTTTGAAACCTCTCCACCATTGGACACCAAAAGCTACTTTCCCTAGGGTTTGCCCCTAACGAAAGCCCCAAGTAGGTCATAAGCTAGGACAAGATGGAACACCCTAAGCTTCTTGCTATAGCCTCCATCTGATTGTCCTCCAAGTTAACCCCGGCTACACAACTCTTCCCAAAGTTGACACTCAGATTTGACACCATCTCAAAATTCCTAACCAGATCTTTAAGATTGTCCTCTTCATAGAAAATCAAAATATCATCTGCAAATTAGAGATGGGTGACCGGAGTACCAACCCTACCTATCCTCCACCCTTTAATCACTTCTTCTCTGTCAGCCTTTGAGATCATTCTACTAAGCACCTCTACTATTAGAGTGAAGAGGAATGGTGATAGACGGTCCCCTTGCCTGATACCTCTACAAGTTGGGAAGAAGTCCTTCACCACTCCATTAACCAGGACAGAGTAATGGCATGAACTCACACATCCAAATATCCAATTGCACCACTTATTCCCAAAGCCACAAATTCTCATTACTTGTACCAAGAAGTGCCAGTCCACCAAGTCATAGGTCTTCTTTGGATCCAACTTACAAACAAAGCCTTTTCTTTTCGATTTTCTCATATTCTCCACACACTCACTAGCAATTAGGATCTGATCTACTATTTGTCTCCCTTAAACAAATGCCCCTTGGGCTTGGCTTATTAGGGATGGGAGAACTACTTTCAGCCTCAAAGACAACACCTTAGCCAAGATTTTGTAGGTGCTAGTTGCCAAACTAATTGGCCTGTAACCCTTAGGTTGGATAGCATCTTGTTTCTTAGGGACTAAGGCCAAAAAGGTGGCCTTGACTCTCGGGCTTACTATATGATTCTCGGCAAATTCCTTAACAGCATCACATAAATCCTCTTTCAAAATGTCCCAACAATCTTGGTAGAAAGTCATAGTAAAACCATCCGGACCTGGTGCCTAAGATCTATCCATCATGAACATTGCCCTCCTGATCTCCTCTTCTTCAATGTTCCTTTCTAACCACTTTTCTTTTTCTCCATCTAACCTCGGTCATTCCAATCCTTCCATAGGCACCCTCTCATTCAATGTCCTTCTAAAGACACCTTTAAAATGGTCTACAAGGGTCTTAGCTATCTCCTCCTGATTGGTAATTACCTGCCCTTCTAACTCTAATCTATCCACTAAGTTCTTCCTCCTACCATTTGCCAACTCATGAAAGAATCTAGTATTCCCATCCCCCTCCTTAATCCACTTATGCCTTGACTTCTGCCTCTAACAAATCTCTTCTCCGAGTAGAACCTCTTCTAGATCCTTTGTCAATTGCCTTCTTGATTCTCTATCCTGCCCGCTCAACAATCCTTGGGCTTCCCTCTCATTCAACTTTTCATTTTGTGTGAATAGGTTAAGTTTTTGTTCCTATACCCTACCAAAGTGATCTTTATTCCACTCCTTCAACTTGACTCTCAGTCTCTTCAGCTTCTGATGGAATTTGATTCATTTCCACTTTATTCCCCTTAACTCCTCGTTCCAGCAATCCTTCACTATGTTTCCAAATTCTGGATGAGCTAACCACATATTCTCAAACCTAAATGGTTTTGGTCCACTAATTAGGGATTCCATACCGATTTTGATGGGGCAGTGGTCTGATGTAACCCTAGGCAAGGCTCTAGAAAATAGATTTCCCCAGTAGTTTTCCCATTCTAGGTTGAATAGAAACCTATCCAGCTTTGAATAGAAAGGATTATCTTGAAAATTGGACCAAGTGAATCTAGCTTGCATTAAGGGAATTTCTTTTAACTCACAAGCTTCTATAAATCCGTTAAATTTCCTCATGCTTGCTGTGATTGACTGTACATGATTACTAGATTGCTCTAAGTACCTTGTCACATTAAAATCCCCTCCCAAACACCAAGGCCCATCCCATAAACCTCAAATTGCATACAATTCCTCCCACAAGTCATTCCTTTCTCTATAGGTATTAGGACCATAAACATTGGTAAGCACCCAACAAAATCCATCCTCCATATTCTTGAATTTAATGGAGACAGAGTATCTACCTACTAGCTCCTCCACCTTTTCCACCACCTCATTCTTCCAAACGGTGACAATTCCTCCACAGGCTCCCCAAGATGGAACCGAGGACCAACTAACACCCCTAGTCCTCCAAAAGCTTCTTATCCACCTTCCATCCAGCTCAGAGAGCTTCGTCTCTTGCACCATCACAATATCAGGCTTCTCTCCTGTGAATAAAATCCTTTATTACACTCCTTTTCCTAGCACTTCCCAATCCTCTCACGTTCCAACTGATAATTGTCATGGATATACTTGCAATATAGTCCCTCCTGAACTCGACTCCTCACCTATAGTTCTTCCTCCTCTCTCCTGTTCCGCTAAACTCAAGATCAGCCTCAATGTCAGATATTAGCCTTTGCACCTCAATTCTTTTCTTCTTTTTATACTCCTTTTTCTCCTCTTTTTTTCTCCTTAGGTTTCCTATGGTATGTTTTAACTATGTCTTTTCCCACCCCTAGGTCAACCTCTCGATAACAACTTCCTGTTTTAGGATTCGGTTCTGTCCCCTCAACATCTTCTATTTCACCACTCTCTCCTTCCTCACTAGGCAGACCCTTTTTCTGATGATTCACTTCCAAGTAACCTTCCTTCATTCTGATTGCATCAACTTCTGTACAAATCAGCTTCCAAATTCTCTCCACCTCTTCCCCCACACCCTCACAAAGAGCTAACTCTTCCTTCTCCTTAAGTTCATGATTACCACCAGCACCTTCACCACTTCCTTTAGACACCAAATCTGCTCCTTCAAGGTGGGATATTAGAGTATCTGCAATAGGTTGAACACACGGATCAGTAGTAAAAACCGAATGGACGCCCATGCCTGATTGCAGAGTAGGAGAATGAGGAACAAACGAGGATTGCAGCTGAGACATTACTGGTGGTAGTGCCCCGTCCATCCCTTTAGTTGGCAATTGCAGTGAAGTGGTCAAGGTTAAAGTTTCACCTTTGACTATTCTTACCACCGGAGAAGCCTGCTCCTTTTCCTTCCTTCCTGGCCTATCTTCACAGATCATCAAAGAGTCTCGTGCCTTTGTACTAATTCTGTTTATGGTCTGAGAGGTTGGAGTTGCTCCCTCATGGAAGGGGGGGTGATAAGCCTAGCTTCCGAAGTTGTACTTTCAATCCTCCTCACCTCCACGTCTTCCCCTTGACAGCTTCCTTCTAAATAAAGAATCTCTGTGTTGAAACTTCCTTCCTGTAGCATGTGCAAGTTTTCTTATAGGTCAAAACTTCCCAAACTCTCTGTATCAGTTGTGCCTTCATCACCGCTACCTTCTTCATCTAAGTAATCAATGTCTTTAACAAGGTCAAGATCCCGTCGTTTTATGCTTCTGGGATTCTGCCTATCCAGGGAGAGATAATTTACCTTCTTGGTCGGAACCCATTGCAGTGACGAAGTGGCCAAACCTGCATCTCGCGCGTGGACATGAGAGGAGGAGCTCGAAGAAGAAAATAGATGATTCTTACCATCTATTGGAGCCTCCCCCTTTCCAGTCACGTGTAACTTAAGTGATTTACGTGCGTGCCCCCTTTACTTGAAACTTGGTTTGGGCCGACTTAAGTTGAGAACACAGCCCACCCTTGGTTTCTTAGCAGGCCCAACAACTTTTAGAGGCCCACTCAGGCTAACTTGCATTGGCACGTGAGACTTTACAATGTCACACTCAGTGCCCAGGACACCCGGCTCAGGTTCACCAATTTTTGGTTCGAGCTGGTCTGAATCCTTTAACCTTCCTTCGTAACTTGAATTTAAAACATGATTCTTGCCGCCTTTAACCATCTGAGCATAAGATTTACTACCATCCCTTCTGATAGCTTGCACTCCACATAGTTGACCACCCATCTGCCCCTGCTCTTTTATAGTCTCCAATTTTTGCTTACCCAAATTGGTGAAAGATCTATCAACCTTTGAGATTGCCAATCTCCTTGTTCCACATAGAGCCTCTTCTTCTACCTTCTCGTCCCCTTCCTTGTGAGACTCCCTCCACAGTGTAGCTTCTATGGAGGAGGCCAGCCAAACCGAGTAGAAGCAACCTTCCACGTTTATCTCCACTGTCCTGGGTATGTCTTCTGGTTTCACTCCATTTATTAGAAGAGTTGCTGATCAAAGGTCCCCCCAAAAGGCTCTGGCAAGGTTACCACCAAATAAAAGTGCAATAGACGCAGCCACTTCCTGTTTCCACAAATGAAAGGGCAAACCTAGAACTCGTACCACCACCCCATCCTCAGTGAAGAACTCCTTAGAGTTAGATGAAGGGTTCCACTTAAAGATTGTAATCACAACATATTCAGATTGAAGACTGATAGCTGAGAGCTCTAATTTATCTTCAGTCAGATCAAGCACCACTTTACTATTCTCAAAAGGTGTTAGAATAAACATCCCTTTTAACTTCAGCTGTAATACGAGCAGGTCTGTAATTCTCCTCCAGTTGCTAACCGGATTCTTAACTTGAACCACATATCTATCTTCCCACTCTTCTTTCCTAGAATAGCCAACCAGCCTGTCCTGTCCGTTACTTTTCGCCAGGGCTAGTAGCTCTTGGACCTGGTCTTCATCTTCAGTTGAAAGATTGTTGGTTTTTCCATTCTCCTTCAATATATCCATACGCAAGGTTTCCAAGTGTTGGATAAACTCTTCCAGTATTCCATTGATTTTCTTCCATCCAACTCCTTGTCTTCCCTCAGGAAAGCAGACTAGTTGCCTCCTTCCTTTCCCAAAATATTCAGAAAAAGCTAAATAACCCCCTTTATTGTTTCTTCTGCATTCTACAACATACCTCTTCCCTTTTTGAGTACTCAATTCCTTCCAGTTTCTTTGTTTACCTTTGAGACATGCTTCATTAACATACTCCCTGAACCATTTAATCACTTCCATACCTTACAACAGCACTGTGGCCTTCTTCCCTTCCCTAATCTTCAAGCTCGCCACTCCTTTGTTTTTCAGCTCTTCAAGCAGAAACTCCTTGGCTTCAACCTTCAGCATTCTCCTCCATTGTCCTGCAGCCACAAACCCATCCATAGCCACAAACTCCTTGCCTCTGTTACTTAGTAATGTTTGATACTACTTTGTCAATATTCTGCCATATGAAATTTATCATGAAGAGAAATTTCAATAAACATGGGAACATATGTGCATTGTTAGATGCATACAATACAGTAGACAATTCAGCCTTAGTTGAATCTCCTTGGGCAATAGGACCTGAAAATATTGCTAAGATAGTTCCATCTTTATCCCTGAATACCCCTCCTATGCCTCATGGCCTGTCGAAACAGCTTCCATAAAAATTAAGTTTTACAAAGCTTTCTGATGGTGGTTCCAAAAGCTGACTCTTCTAGTCTTTCTTGTAAATGGAAAGGCCACTTCCCTCCAATTCATTTTTATGCTCTCAAAGGAAAATGGAGAAAACAGATCCAAGGTCTTAACCCAATGAATCACCCTTGGGAGGATATGGTCTAAAATTGCTTCCAGGTTTCTCAATAATATATATATAGAAGAATATAATTATATATCATAAAATTGTGTATATTATATATATATATATTATATAATATTACATTACACTATAATATAAAATAAAATAAAAAATGTTATAGCAGAATATACTTATAATATGTTGTATGTATGTATATTATGTAATCATGGTTTGACCTCCGGTTCTACCCCAGTTGAACCTTTGATCCATGAACCTCTCCTTTTTCCAGGTCGATGTCCAGTCCAGTTCTCTAAACATTGATCAACACACGAACAGAAGAACTTGAAAATTTTATCTGATCAACAAAGAAGAATAACCCTTTCTTTTCTTCATTTTCTTAGACAAAAACAAGGGTTCTGCCCCTTCCTCTCCTTTTTATTCTCTATTTTCTTTTTATTCCCTTATATCCAGTTGAAAGGGCATTTAGTGGAAATCTAACACCTACCCTACCTGTCATTCTTCACTTCTTTTTACCTTTTTCTTCCATATCTTGCTCTTTGTCATTCTTTGGGAGCATTAATCTCTGAAACCTCCTAGTTTGACTTCTCTTTATTTTCTATGAACATATTTAACTTGTCAGTGGAGAAAATGAAAGATCACAAAGCACATACCTCAAGTCACGAACAGATTCCTTGTGAGCGGATTTATTTGCCTTCACATTATTCATGTTATTTTGCCAATATCTGAAAAATGGTGCCATGTCCATAACACATTTCATACAAAATAAGTACATAAATTAAAGATCCAGACCAAATACAAAATCTCAAAGCAGCACTATCAAATGATAATGAATGCCCTACTTTATAGAACCCCCATCATCACCAGTGACCATCCAGTTCTCATTATGACTCCACACCATGGACCTAATTGCCTGATCATGAGCCTGCACACAAACAAGTGTTAAAGCACAATCAAGCTTTTTTCCTTAATAACAAGCTCAACAAGAAATTCTAAATAAATGACCCATACCTGAAGAATCATTTCAAAATTAAATGATTGCCCATTCCAAAGAGTAAATTCACCACTTTGTGAGCCCGTGATGAGCCTCCTCCCTGTAGGATACCACTTCAATAGAAAACAATAGGCTGGTCAGCCATAGGAAGGATAAAACCCTGGCAACAGATGACTACCTCTGAAAAGCAAAAATTTTAGAGTTCAGATATCACAGCAGTGCTACCAAAGACAACCCAAGCGAATTAACAATAAAAAGCTAAAAGGGTATAATATTGAGCAATTTAATGTATTATATTAATATCAGAAAGTGTATGGTCATCTGTACAGTGAGATTCTATACATGTATAAGCCAATTAGGGACCCCAAAAAGTCCAACCTCAAAATAGAAGATGAAAACCTATCATCCTTAAATGCACTGTGTACACACAACCAATTCTTTAGATCCTCTACTACAACATTGTTAACCTCTGTTTCAAAACTTGACTTCTGATTAAATATTCTGCTATTCTTCCCATGCCATAGGGCCCACAAAATCATTGCTGGAACAATTGCTGAACACACCACCTTCCCCTTCCCAGACATGCCCATAATCCCTCTAACATCCCCTTCGCTGATCTGAGGCAGCACAAGTGTAGGGTTACAGATTTGAAGAAATGATTCCAAACTGAAGCACAATGTGTGCAGTGTAAAAACAGGTGATTCAATGTCTCATCCCCTCTGTAAGAGACACACAAACACAGTGATTTAAAAGGTGTGTCTAGAGGCGCATTTTAGGGTATACACCTCGCCTAGGTCCCAGGCACAGCACTTTCAAAAGGCACACGCCCAGTGCACCTTGCGCTTCAGCGCAGGTACGCTTTTATATGTTATGCTTGATTTTATTTTTAAATTTCCATTTTAAATATGTTTTACATGGTATGTTTATGTATTTAAATTTGACATAATAGGTTTTTTTAAAACATTTATTTTAAAATTTTGGTTTATATTTTCAATTAATATTCTGTTTAATATTTTTTAATTTTTGCATTTTTTTGAATTTTTAATCTTTTTTTTTTTTTTGCATTTTTGCACCTTGCTTCAAAAAGGCGCACGCCTCATGCCTCGGGCACAAATGCCCCTGCTTTTAAAACACAGCACAAAGGCCATCAGTGACATTGACTTCAGCAGCATATGAATCAACAATCCTAGTCATTCTGTTTTCAGCCACATTAAATAGATCCGGAAACATATCTTTTAAAGCTCTTTCCCCACCACACCAAGGATCCAGAGAAGCGCAGCCTCCTCCCTTCTCCTGCCTTGAGCTTTTTTCTTTCAATGAAATTGTTGAAAACTTTAGAAATACCCTTCCATACACTGCATCAATAAGACATTTGAGACTTATCTTCATCCCAACCTCCAGCATTTGCTTCTCAGACCGTACTTTTCTTCTATTATTTTTCTCCACAGATTAGTGGGTTCTGTAGAGAATCTCCAAAACCAATCCAGCAGAGCCACCTTAAACTGCTTAACCTTCCCGATTCCCAAACTTTCATGGGATATTCGTCTGCAAACCTGATTTCAATTTAGCAGATGACATTTGGTTGAATCTTTCCAACCAGTCGAAAGGAAGATTCTCATTTTCTGCTCCATTTTACCTGTCACTTCAGTTGGGATTGAAAAAATGGACATATAGTAGGCTGCGAGACTGGCCAAGACACTATTAATTAAAATCACCTTGCCTCCTTCCTTTGGAGAGGTAACAGGCCTTTCAAGAAGCCAGTTTCAAATCTATCCTTTCTAGTATAAGGTTCCGAATGGATTTTGAAGTGAACTTGGCCCCAAGAGGCAGATCCAAGTATTTGGTGGGAAGGTTACCCACCTTACATCCAAGGTTCAAAATATCAATACAGCTCGATATCGAGGCTCGCTTCTCTATTTTTTTAATTTTTTTCCAATCTGGTTCAGAGGGATCAGTTTAAGGCCCATCTACCCCCTGAACCATGGTTTGACCCAAAACACCCACTGTAGGGGCATATCAGGAAGCCCCCTCCCCCGATACAATACATATCGGCCGATACGGCCCAATACGTATCAAATCTTTGAACCTTGCTTACAGCCCAATACATCAGCTAACCTTCATTTCACTCTTAGGCTCTTGGCTAGGTTGACCTTCAATCCCAAGACCACCTCAAACCAATAAGGTAAGAATTTTAAACTATGCACCTGCTCCGAGGATGCATACAGAAGAAGAGAGTATCATCTGCAAAGTGCAAAAGAGCAATCTCTGTGCCATTTTTTCTAGCTTCAAAGTGCAAGGAGGCTCCAGCAGCAGTTGCTGCCATGTAACCGTTCACCATCACCGTCATGTTGCTACCATCTAACCATTTCAATTAACCAGTCTATTTTCATCTCAGGTTAAAGCTCAAATAATGAATAATGATGATAAAAAGAGAGCAGCAAATCATTGAAGATTTTTTATGGGAGCTCATAGATACAAGGAAAGGCCATCCCGTCAATTGAGACAGTGTTTAAAAACAGGAAAAATATGGCATCAAGAATTAGGAGGGGAATTAGATATGGAAAAACTAGGAAAATGGCTTTGGTCTATGCTTCTATTGAGATTATCATAGGAAATCAAAACTTGTGGTGGTATGATCTAATCCTCCAAGCTTCCTGGCCAAAGCAATCTGGTTTTGGATGCTATCCCACTAAAACTAAAAGCTTTCTGTTTGGAAACAATTAAAACCATACCCTATGAAGATGTTCCAACATGGGCAAAGTACCTACAAACTGCCTGCCTTGGTCCCTCCTACATAACTGGAGATCTCTTTTTACACTTTTTGATGAAAAACAATAATGCATTTTATCAAACAATCAGTAGATGTGAAGTTAGCCTTGCCTAACCTCCTTACATATACAATTGCATCCCCCCTTAAGCTACTTGGCCCCAATACAGTTGATCCCTCGATGTCCCTTGTTTTGTCAACCCATCTTCCAAAACAATAGCAGTAAGTGATACCCATTTCAACTTTGCCATAGCTCTTTCTATTAGTCTTTGTAGCTCTCTTAGGTCATATCTATATTTCCACACTACCTCCTTATCAGTCAGCCACCCTATTTCAACTTCACAATGTATGTGAAGCAACCTTATTAATAATCAAGAAAAAGAAAGGGCTTAAATTGAACAGAAATGGATATTTGAAGGGCTACATTTTACGATGTAGTCAACTAAAATATACAGGCAGAAAATAGAAATGTGTTCATGTCAATGTTTAACCACCTAAACGCAATCAGACAAGCAAGGTAGTGCTACCCTTGAACAGAATGCATCATTATTTAAGAGACATGGAAATAGTAGAAAACTTACCAAGACTTTGTTGATTGGACACTTGTTTTTGTTAGTAGATGCATGGACAAATTTTGCAGCAAAGCTTGTGGATGGATTGTCTGCATAGGCAACTGTAGGCAGCATCTGCACAAACCAACATGCTAAAAGTTACACAGAATGAACATATCCACCTAGTTATTACCAGGCTCTGTAATCTTTTTTTTTTTCTTTTTGATCAGCAGGCTCTGTGATCTAATGTTATTAATGTGGTGAGGCAATCCTTTTGGCCTCCCTAGTCAATGTTATGGCTAGTTGGTGCCTGGGCAGTGGCCAGTAGATAACAAAAGAATGTGTCTTAAATAGATGATATTGATCTGATCTCATATATAGACAACAAATATGCAATAAAATAATGATGTAGGACATTTAGTTTGCAATCTTTTTAGAAAACATAGAAAATGAAGGCTGGATAGGCTAGGATTTTTTCAAAGAAAGAGTGCAACCTTGATTATTCAGTTGCCCTTTTGTCTATGGCAACTCCATACCAACATAACTCTGTTTGGAAGAAAATTTATCATCATCTTTTATTATGTCTTATTTCTAGTTATATACCACGAACCAATCATGAACAATCACCAAATGCTTAATGCACTAGCTTGAATCCATCAAATAAAAGCATATACTATAATATTTTAAACAATTAAAGATAAACAAAACAAAGGAATTAAGTTTAAAATAACTTTATGTTTGACTACATTAACTAGTCATTAGATAACTAATTGACCTAGTTGATGCTTGGTAGTCCCAAGCAACCGAATCATGAATACCGACTGACTAACTAGTGAAGCAATTGGTATGATAACACAACTATGATCAATGAACAAAATTAACGAACAACTTTGGAAAGTCAAGCCAGTAACCTTCAATTATATAGTTGTATGAAAAAAATGGACCTCATTGTTCATAAAGAATCTATCATAAAGGGAGCCAAAAAATGATAGACAAAAGATTGAACATAATAGAGAGTCAAAAACCATGTTATGAGATATCATATCATGGTTTTACTCAACATACCAAACACTAATACAATTTACAACCCAAAATATACACTTTATGAAAATATTAACTAACATCAATCGCCGCAGCTGGTGTAGGTTGTAACACAGTCCTGTCCCTTGAGTCCTGCTGCCACATACGAGTCTGCATCATATACAAATTATTCAACCACCGAATGGAAATTAATAGACTTTAAGATAATTAGCTGGTTTATTAGTATATGAACAGTAACAAAGTCCAAAAGAGTGAAGGAAATATATACAAAATGAGAAGGCATTCCCAAAGAAGATTAAAAAAACAACAAAAATCAAAGGGGAAGCAAAACCTATGTATCTGCACAATGACTATGAATAATCACTTGTCATTTCTCTTTAAAGTCAGTCCTCAGTAAGTATTTTAAGTTACAAGTCTGCAATTTTACTGTACTGAACACATTCAAAACAAAAACAGGTGAAACTACAACATTGAGAAATACATGATGATTTTGATTATTTTTTGTTATGAGAATCTTTTTGCGCACAGTCAAGGAATGATGATATGGTGAAATACTTATAAACTTTGTACGTTCCAATTTGTACAGCCACTTGTTGTACAAAGGGCTCTTTTTTATATACAATACCTTTTCAAAAAAAAGAAAACAAAAGAAATGCATGGTTGATTAAAATGATACTTAAAAACTTGAATGGGATTTGATCCTACAACATTGAGGAGGCCGAAAAGGACTGAAATTGCCAATGGTCATAAATTTGAAAGCATCTCCATAGAGGTTCCTCAGCTTCTGGATTGGGATGTACTGGAATCATGTGTTTAAAGAGGAAGAGATTGAACAAGAAACAACAAAACACAGAGATCAGCTGACAGTATGGCTGCCATGACACAAAGAGAAGAAATAGGAATCAATTTTACTGGGGGTGACTTTACAAGGGGGAAGTTGACACTAGGAAGATAAAAGACAGCCTCTTGGGAAGCTCTATATACCATCAGCAAATGCTTAACCCCAAGATCATCACTGTGATACAGCCACTATATACATCATTCTTGATTTTAAAGATTAATAAAAAAATTGACAACTTGCTGATCAAAAGAAACAGAAAAGGTGATATGAAATGCTGAGCATAACAAAGGCAAGGGAGGCATGTGCTGTTCCGTGGTTGTCTTTTATTTGGGTTGCTGATACACCACCTAGGGTCTTCAAAAAGACCTAGGCATGTACTAAAGGAAGATATTCCAATACCCTCAATACAAATCAACCAAATGTTAAGTTCATTTGGCAGGAATTATACATATACCTACAATTATGTGTGTGAACTGCAAAAATATTAGTAATTTAGCACAACATTACAAATGCCCATCCACATACACTGTATAAAAGTGTTAGAATAACCAAATAGCAACAAACCTCATAAGCTAACCATGACACTGATAGACCTGTAGCTAGAACAAAGGTTCCCAACCTTGAGACTAGGAAGGAGGGTTTTGGCGTTACAATTAAAAAAGTAGCATTGGATGAGAATGGCATCCCAACTATTGTAGTTGTTACTCAAACCTGTTGGTTGAATAATTAGGATTCCACAAATAAATTGTCCACCATGGTTAAATTCTAAATACAACACATATGTTAAAAAACTATTAGTATCTTAGTATAAACATCCACCTGCACATATCGCACAACAGTGCTAGTATAATCAACTGCTCTCCGCTGGACAAGTTTTCGAATCCTTCTGGCTGCAAAACTCTCCCCATGAGCTGAAAAGACATGAAGAATTGAAATAAGATATAGCAGCAATCATGAGCAACCCTTGTTCACTAATACCAATGACCTTTCTGAAAAAGGTAAAAAAACAAATATGTCATATGACAAATTGACAATAGACAAAAATTCACTTGAATAAAACCAAAATTACTAATATCTCAATACTCATAAAAGTTTGCAATGCTTACATCAGAAAATTAATAAAAAAGAACCTTATATAAAGCCCTAACTCAAAGAGGCAAGATGAAATAGAGAGAGAACATTTTCCCAGTTCAAAGCCAAAAACAATTCTTAAGAGCACACATGTGAGATTCCAGTAAAAGATAAAATAACCTTCCCCTTCTTCTTCATGTGAGATTAAAAATCTCTTTATTTCTGGTTCCAGATTTTCTCTTTTCACAGATGCTCTGTTTAATTGACAACAAGGAATAAATAGATACTTGTCTACATGCAAATTTTAAGGCCACAACCAAGCATAAGAAACTCCTTTTTACAGAGAACAACATTTTTTTATGAATGACTGTAGAGAACAACATTTTTAACATATGTAGTTAATCCAAGGGATTTTGGTCACTCTAGAGAAAGTTTTGTTTCAGTAACACATCTCGCAGAATTTGATGTCTTTATTATTGGCCACTATTTCCATTCACTAAAAATGGGATTTTGGAAGTGGGCAGTTTGGTTCAGCTATTGGAACATCTGAGAAAGGATTAGCTGAATTTGATAGCTGTTTTACTGGCTGCGGGACCAACCATTTTGCTCCACATCATCCATAAAGTGCATATGGCCCGCAATCACTCGATCTCTCACTCGCATTTATAGCTGGTGTGGAGCAAAATTATTGGTCCCACAGCCAGTAAAACAGCTATCAAAACACAGCTAATCCTTTCCTAGTCAGTCATTTATTGTGTAGAGAAAACTGAACAATTTTGGAAGGTTGATCTTAATGAAATTCACAGTAAATTCGGAATGACCCCCTCTAAGTGACTTCTTCGGATTTGTTCCTTGGAAATGGATATGGAATGCCCATGTCCTGTCTCATTCTTCATGTGGATTTCATGTATCTCCTAACTAATGCATGTATTTGCAATTGCACCAGTGCCATAGTGCCATTCAACAAACAGTGTGCATCTAAAGTATAAAAGCATTGTGGCTGTGCATATTGAACCTAATCATAATTCCAGTTCTCATTGTAGATTCTGGCATCATACATTTTTCTTTTTTCTTTTTTTTTTTTTTTTGATGAACGAACTAGCATCATACATTATTCCTAACCTCCTTCAAGCCAATACCATCACACCTCCCAAGTTTAGAGCAATTCACAATGAGGGGTTGCAGCAATTCCTTACAATGATCTGGTTGCAAGTTTCGCTGAGACTGAATTTAGTACAGTGGTGTGGGGCATCTTTACGAGATGCCACTTGAAAGTTACAGATGGCTATCCCAGCTTCAACCTTGAGAACAAGACAGACCTAATGGAAGAGGATTGATATGGTTTTCTCAACGTGCATAAGGTCATGAGTATAGGGGTCAGTAAAGGTGTTTAACGTTAGTAATAGCCTTAACCAAAAGATACTATGGTATTCAGTCTTAGGAGTCCGTTTGAATCATGGCTGAGAAGTCGTAGGATTAGTGGGTCAATTTCCTAGAAAACGGAGTGAGTGGAATGATGTAGGTGGAAGCTACTGATGTATTTACGTGCATGGTTAATGAAGATTTGGCTACCCGATTTGAGACGTAAGAGGAGATCCACCTAGAAGAGGACTACCCTTTTTGGCTTTATTATCAGTTTTTTTTTCGCCTCATGGACAACAGGGGGTAGCCCATCCCCTTTCCCTTAACCCCCCCACCCCACCCTGGTAGCAGCGGGATTTGATCCCAGGTCTCTACTTCGACGAGTCAGAGAACCTACCAAGCTTTATTACCAGTTTATCACTGTTCAAAATAGCTTGTAAAAACGGGCAAAAAAACTACCAGTATGTTACGACATACTCCTCTCATATAATTACAGTACAATGCCACTGCTACAACTACAATAAACCATTAGAAAGACAAAAACGAAAACAAAAGGAGCCCTACATTGTTTGAAACCCTAGAACTTTAAAATCAGCAATCTCAACATCATCTGTAAAGAACAATAAACCGGAGAGAAATTTGCTTACTGTCGTAAGGAGGAGGCGGAGCAGGAGTGGAGGCGTGATGATAATCCGACGGGATTGTACTCGAAGAAGCTGAGGGCTGCCGCATCGGTGGTCCTCTGGGAAAATCACCGCCCTGTGGCGGTTGCTGGAGTGGTTGATCAGCGTACATCATCTTCCTTGGGGAAGAAATCGAAAATCCAACTTAACCTACAATGGAAGCGAGAGCGAGAACCTAAGCCTAGAGTGGAGGAAATCCTTTAGAGCAAAGCATTTTAGCCGTTTTGGGAGGAGACGAGGCGGGAAGAAATGTAACTGCGATTTATATACAGGATTTCAGAGACCACGATGTCCTAAACGAGAGTCCCCAAACGAATTTGAGTTTTATTAGTGAAAGAAAAGGGGTAAAATACTTCAACTACTTTTGTAAAATTGACCAACTGTACTTCTAAATCACCTCGAACCAACTCTATCCAATATGTTATCAGCTAAGGTCCAATTTTAACACCCCCATTTGGGCTGGTTCAAGGTTCAAGGATTTATTCCATACCCCAATTCATAGGAGATAGGGCTGTTCATAAGAATGTCCAATCTGACCAAACCGACCAACCTGGACCGACCTAATCCGAGTCAGTCAGGTTTTCATTAGTATCGGTCAGTTTCAAGTTGGGAAAATATATAAACCGATATATCGGGTCGGTTTCAGTTTCTTGTGTGAAAACCGAAACCAACCCGACTCGAACCAAACTAGTCTTCTACTAGTTCGGTAATTCCTAGTTTGAGTAGTTTCCTACTTAACTATAATTAGTCTTCTACTAGAACTAGAAGGCCCATTAGGCAATTACAATTAGAATAGGCAATCTATCCTAGTTTCTAACTTTCTATAATCTTTTACACCAAATAGGCAACCCATTAGGCAATTACAATTAAAATTCAATTAGGTGTCCTTTTGTACAGGAGCAAAACCGAAACCGACCCAAACCGACTCAAACCGACCAGGTCGGTTTGACCTATCAATGGGTCGGTTTCGGTTTCCACCTCAGCTAACCCGACCAGGTCGGGTCAGTTGGGAAAACCCCAATAAACCGACCCAACCCAACCCGTGGACACCCCTAATAGGAGAACCGGCATTGGAATCAAATTTGTCTTAAAATAAATAAATTGACCCGTGTGATGCATGGGAAAATCGGTATCATAATAACAGAGATTAAAAAGAAATGTAGACCTTAAGGCCATGTAAATAGGGCAATGACTATTTTAGCCATAAAATTCAATTATTAAAAGATGTATTTTTGTCCCATTCAAATGTTGGTAATTTTCCCCCAAGTGGGAAAGTTATTTACGTGAGATTAACTTTCCTTAGTTCCCACATAAATATGAAAAAATAGCATGGGTTTCTTGGTCAATGAGTATTAAATTCACATTAACCAACTTTCGTCCATCTCAAAACCCAAAAAAAGAACGCCCCCTAAATGAGTTTGTTGGGAAAACCTGATTATATATCATATATGTTGTTTTACACATAATAATGCTGAAGTTGAATTAAGTGAATTTGGCCAACCCAATGTCTACCCAATTCAAAGTTTTAGGTCTGAGTTAGGGTTAGAATTGGGGGTTCAATAGCTCAAGTTGGGCATGGGCTTTTGGTTGGGCCCATTCAAAATTTGGCAAAAGCCAAGCCTGAGCCCAGCCCATGAACAGGTCTATTCAAAATAAGGCATTGTTCATCATTTTCTTCCTCAAGAATCAAGATTGAACCAAAGCAATGGTGAATAACCTCAAACCTACCACCAATATTTCAAAGAAATTTATGCACTTTGATGGTTGATAAAGAAAATTAGATGACACTGGAAGTGCATTTGTATCCTTTCACATACCACTTAATGGCGGTTAATGCTTTTGGACTAAACTAAGACTGCATTTGACATTCTTTACTTTAAGGAATTAACACATTTTGAAATTCAATGAGACTAAGTCTAAGGCTGTGTTTGGTTCGAAGGAAAAATGTAAGGAAAGGAAGGAAAAGGTAGGGAAACTTTTACAAATCTTGTATAGGTTTTCCTATCTTTCCCTACTTTTTCTTTCAAAACAAGCATAACCTAAAAGTATGATACTAATATGCAATTTGCCCAATAATTAGTTATATTAGGAACCCATACAGCACACGGTTCACCACAACTCCACAAGATGAGTTACCATATAAAACTCAAACCCATATGTTGTATGGTGCTTTTAGAATTTGGTCTAAGTGACCCGCTTAAATCATCTTTTTCACCCGGATTGATAAAACAAGTTTTGTCAAACCCAGAAGAATGTATGTATATTCTTCTTATCCTAATGTGAAAGTAAAGACTTTTTTACCTTCTCATGATGAAAACTATGAAAGTTTCACTTAAACCAGCCAGCGTACACTTGAAAGTTTTATACGCTAGCTAGCCAGTGCAAAGCTTTGCTTTATTCTTTCAACACTACCTGAAAGACAATCTCTGTGAGGTGAAACTTTATAGGCTCAGTTTGAAAAGAGTACAAATGCAAATATGGAGAATGTAAAACCTTATATTTTGCATTATTTTATATATATTTGCATTTTTACATATTTATATGTACTCTCCAAATGGAAATACATATAAAATGATACAAAACACACACAAAAAAAGTAAATTAATACAAAATACAATAATTTACACTCTACATATCTGTATTTGTACACCTTCCAATGTTGGAGAAAATCTATGATATGGACAAAGTATCTTTTCCATATCATATCGGATGACATGGACCAATCAACATTCCACTTCTCTGTTTCAGTGAATACCGAAACAACCATTTAACTCATATTTCAAAAAAGAAATTCATTTCAAGATAAGAAAGACGTTAAAGGGGCGAGCCTTAGGCAAGTATGGGCAGGAGTGTTAATGGGGCTGTCCCGAAGTGTTTCCACTTCGGGATACTTATCCATAGGTTGGGGTGTTCCCTTAAGAGTTCGGGGCCCACTGGGAGGAGCTCGGGAGTCCTAGTTTGGAGGGAGTTCGGGGTGCTCCTCCCTAAGGGAGAATTCGGGGTAAGCTAGATGTTACTTCTTGGCAAGTTGCCACGTCCACCGAGTTGTCTCGCTGGGCTCCGGCGAGTTCATTACACCGAGTTATGGCCAGGCTGCCACGCTGAGTTGTCACTTATGCCAGGTTGTATTTATATATCCCCGTGCTATGAGGTCAGGCCAAATCACCCTCCATCAGTTGGATTCTCATACTTGTAGAGTGTGTGCAACTTATTACAACTTCTTTTTGGTAGAGATGAAAGAAAACAAAGATGAAGTGGAGTTATAATAAAGTAATATCATGCCATCATTCAACAAAATTTTCTATTTTAAGGTTATGTTTGGTTTGAAGGAAAACCTTAAACGTTATGTATGATTTATAAATTAATGGTCTTTTCTTTGTTAGTGACATTAGAAGATGTGCTTTAAAATTGAAAAATCAATGAGACAAAGAATATGTGCTTGGCCTTAATAGATGGATATTGTGAGAGTTAAATTAGCATCAATAGTAGAAAACTCAAAGGGTTGATGGCATAAAGCTTCATGCAAAAGGCTGTTTGTTTAAACCGATAAGAACAAAGCTGATTCCACATCCAAATTCAATCTAGTTATTTTTCCTTAGACTCAATTTGGAAGGAGTATAAATGCAAATATGTAGAGAGCAAAACCTTCTTTTTTGTATGTATTTGTACTGACATATTTGCATTTGTACTCTTTCCAAATTGAGCCTAAATGAAAGAAAAGTGGTTCGTGTTTATTTATTTAAGGCCAAGTACCATACATCTTGCTTCCTAGATATGCATCTCATGGGCCAGCTCAAGCCATAACCAAAAAAATTAACTGGATTAGTAAAGCACAGATACTAATAGTTATGTGAGTAAATCAAAAGCATAGTAGAAATTAAATAATAAAGGGAAATTGTCTAAAATTCATTAGAACTTTTAATCATTTCTCTTAAATTTACCATAACTTTTCAAAACATTCAAGGAACCCCATGTATAGTATGCTTTTATTTTCCAAAGTTCACCATCCGCTAGAACATCATTAGTGTAAATTGATAGGAATTGTTTACATCAGCATAAATGCAATTTTCATGACCAAAGTTCCCCCCAATGGCAAGACAGCCTTATTAAACATATTTTTATGATTAAAATGCCTTTGGTGCCCAATTGCCCTATACATATAAGATTTATACTTGTTGAAAGACATTTTGCTTTTGTTGTGCTGCTTGAATGTATCGCAAAGAAGCTGAAAAAAGGGTTTTGGGTCAAATAATAATAAGGGTATTTCTGAAATATTAAAAAATAGATCAAATACAATAAAGGGTAAAATAGTAATCTACTAGCACCCACGATGGGCTACCTTAAAAATGGGTATGTAGCCCGTTATGGAGATGAAGCTGACACTCTCTCGCACACCCTTACCTACTCACCGGCACTCTCTCCCACCTCGGCACACCTCGATTTTTCCTATTCACCTAGGCTTGATTGTTGGAGTGTGTTCATCCCATGACCACGGGGCCTCTAACAACTCTTTGTGTCTAAAGGTGGGACCCTCAATTAATCTCATGTAATTTTCCAATTTTACCCTCATTATAGAATTTGACAACACTACTAGAATCCAGTCAACTTCCTCTCCCTACTACCTCCACTAAGTTGGACCATTTGGTGTGGACCCCAACTCCTTATGGGTGTTTTTCCACTACATCATGTGTGAAGCTGTTACTTCTAAATGAGCTTACTCTTCAAATCTATATATATATATATATATATATATATATATATATATATATATATATATTAAATGAGCTGTTAAAGTCTACAGTCAACTACCACCATTCAGGTGCCGTTTGATTGCACTTTTTAGAGGTCTGAATCTGAAAATGCTACTTTTTAGACCTCACCCCTTGTTTGGTTGTACCACTTAAATTGGGTTTGAAACTGATTTTCAGATATGAAAATCATAGACCTTGGGCTGATTCTTAGCGTGTTTCAAAGCCGGCCCAATGTCCAAAACATCCTTACAATTTTTCATAAATGACCCAAGTTACCCCTGATACCCCCCAAACCCAGAAAACCTAAACATTTGACCTCTCTCTGGCTCTCTCTCGGTCTCTTTCTCTCCGCCCTGTATTCCCGCCACCATTGCTGCAACTTGTAGCGTCGGTTCTCTCTCTCCCCTTGTCTTCTCTCTCTCTCTCTCCCCCTGTCTTTTCTCTCTCTCTTCGCCCTGTATTCTCCCCACCACCACTACAACTTGCAGTGGCAACTCTCTCTCTCTCTCTCTCCCCTTTCTTCCCACCATCGCCACTACTGTTGTCTTCTCTCTCTCCCCCTGTCTTTTCTCTCTCTC